TGTCTGATACCATAGATGAGCATAATTCTTGGTTTGGATGTGTGTATGTCTTCCTGAGCAAAGAATGAAATACTGTGTATGCTTTTAACAGTCTTAGCAGGTATTGGCAGATGAACACGTTATTGCTGTGTAAGAGTGCACGCAGTGTAGGCAGTGGAGTGGAAGTTCACACCCTGGCTGACCTCGGGGTAACTTATTCACCTTTGCGTAACCCAGATTTGCTCGCTGAATAAGCATGGGTGTAAGCAAGTGCTTTTCATGCTTTGCTGAATTGAGGACTTAACGTCTTTTTACTGGTATCTGACACTGAAAGAGAGTGAATTCTGGGAACTCTCGAGTATTTCATTCAGTTTGCATAAGAAAGCAATGGTTGGGGGGTTTTTTTTATGTCCTTTGAAGTGTTCTCTGCATTTGAATTTTAATTTATACGTCCTTGAGATACCAGAAAGGCCAAAGGAAACATTTCTGAGAATGAACATCAAACTTTTTTCTTTTCTTTTTTCTTTTTTTCTTTTTTCTTTCTTTCTTTTTTTTCTTAAAAGGAGGGAAGGCAATTTCTTGTCCCTCAGATTTGTTGCTTGAGAACTTGTGACGTGTCAGTTGACTGAGCAATGGCTAGAGGAGAATATACTAATCCACAGCTACAGGAGGGTTTTAGCTGAATCTACTGACCGAAAGCAATTTATTTAGTGTTGTAAATGCAGTGATAAAAGGGAATTATAAAAGGAAAAAATCACTGTAAAGGTTAGTGAGTCCTTTCTGCTAGCAGCTGGCCGAAAGGAATGGCAGAGTTCCACCATTTGTGGCTTTAGAGCTACTCTGGTTAACAGTGCAGGAGGCAATAAATCACACAGAATCACAGAATCACTAAGGTTGGAAAGGATCGTCAAGATCATCAAGTCCAACCATTAATCCAGCACCACCATGTTCCCTAAATTATGTCCTGAAGCACCACATCCACACGTTTTTTGAACACTTCCAGAGATGGCGACTCCACCACCTCCCTGGGCAGCCTGTTCCAATGCTTGACCACACTCTCAATGGAGAAATTTTTCCTAATATTCAATCCAAACCTCCCCTGGCGCAACTTGAGGCCATTTCCTCTTGTCCTATCACTACTTACTTGGGAGAAGAGACCAACACGCACATCACCACAACCCCCTTTCAGGTAGTTTTAAGAGACTAATAAGGTCTCCTCTCAGCCTCCTCTTCTCCAGACTGAACAACCCCAGTTCCCTCAGCCGCTCCTCATAAGACTTGTGCTCCAGACCCCTCACCAGCTTCGTTGCCCTTCTCTGGACATGCTCCAGCACCTCAACATCCTTCTTGTAGTGAGGGGCCCAAAACTGAACACAGGATTCAAGGTGCGGCCTCACCAGTGCCGAGTACAGGGGCACAATCACTTCCCTACTCCTGCTGGCCACACTATTCCTGATACAGGCCAGGACGCTGTTGGCCTTCTTGGCCACCTGGGCACACTGCCGGCTCATATTCAGCTTTTTGATAAAGGTTAACCTTGATAATGAGTATTACAATGCTGTGTGGCTCTGAGGTGATGACAAAGCTGTTGGGATGTAGAAATCTTTACCAAGGACTCCTAAATATGGTCCATCATCTCAGAACCTTGTGCTTGAATGCTGCTTTGATTTACTGTGCTTTGTCTCTATACAAAGACTCAAAGCATCAAAGAGAGCACTTTAAAATTAAACTCCCTGCAGCGCTACCCCAAGTTCTTGCCCTATCACTGGTATGAGTGTTCCGTTGGGCTTTTTTCTAAAACTATATTAGGTGAGGAGCCAGTACAGCATGGCTTTTTAAAAATATATTAGTGCAGATCTTATTTTCCTGAAGTTGCAGTTATTTTCTCAGTGCTCATCTGTTACTCTTTAACTGGGTGCATGTTCCCCTCGGTAGTGTGAATGCACGAACATTCTGCTTGCTTGTACGCTGAGCAGGGTTGTTACAGTGCTTGGTATTCTGCAGGTAAAGTCACTCTGCTGAAGAGGCTAGGGTTTTACAATAGGACTGAGAGCTAACACAGTCTCGTGGGTTTTAGTAGTCGGCAAAGAGATAAAAATCTGAGAGATCTTCATTTGTTTCTGTCTTATCTATAAAGTATTTTAGCTTCCAGGTTATTTTGTAATGCTTTCCTATACTTACATGTACCTCTCTTTCCAGGTTGAAATTGGAAGAGAGAAGAAAAGAGTTGGTACAGAAACTTGAAGAAACTACAAAGTTAACAACTTACTTGCATTCACAACTGAGGAGGTGAGACTGTACTGCATTAATGTAAAACCTATTTTCAGCAACAATCTAGTTGACCTGGCTGTCTAAACATAATTCTTAGGTTTTTCTCTGGGCTGGAAGCTGAACAAAATTTGTTTAATATTTAAGTTGGAAAATGTAAGTGTAATATCTTCAAGCATTTTGTCACCATGCAAATCTGGTGTGCCTTTGTAATTTCAGTAAACACTCAACACTGAACTGAATGGGTTTTTTGCACAGCTTCCATGATTAAGCAGGCAGACATTATTTTGGTTCAGTGTAAATAAATCAGGAATTCTCTAATTGGTCATATCTTCAAAATCCTGTCACTGAGGAGACCAAATGGTTTCTCAGAGTTCTGTCTAAAATGAGTTATTGGAACTGTAGTCTTTATTCTGTGTAATAACTGGAGAGGCTTAATGAGTACATGTAGGTATGTAAATACTTAGGTGAATAGTCGATTCTGGTTTTAGTCTTCAACACTGACTTACACTTTGTAGACAGAAATGTATCCTCAGTAGGGTATTTTTTTTCCTGACAGTCATTGATTCAAAATTTGATTCTGGGTTTATGAAATTGATAGCGATAACAAAAAAGCAATCAGTTACAGCAACTGTGAACTCAAACTCATTGCTCTGATGGGAATTCTAATACTTAATGATACATGTAACTGGTCCTAGGGAAGAGTTTCTCTCACTTCTGGGCTGTACCCTGGGCTACAAACCATGTGTCTATTAGAAAATCCTGAATTTTCTTGCATATCCCAGTGGGATACACCAATCAGACACTGCATTAATGTTTACCTATTTTCTTGAAATCAAAATGGAGCTTTAAGAGGAAAAATGCTTTAAAGCATTCTATAAAGGTCTTTTCATGGTAAGCTATTCCATCCCCTTCCTAGGATCTAGGCTGGCTTAGCTATTTCAAACATCTCAGCCAGATCCCATAAATTGCATTTTGATTCATGATTAGTTAGGAAAAGAGTCTTTTAAATCATTTTTTTATTTGTGCTTGCATTTGAGCTTTTGAGGGTGTCTCTGTCCTTTTAAAAGCAGTTTTCTATCCCAGTGGCAATTTTTTTAAAGTTGATAGCTGTTACTGTTCAGTAAACATCTTTTAAGTGTTTAGAAGGGGCTGCCTTGAAGTATTTTTCCTGATGCTTATTCCCAGCAGAGTCCTCCTGAGCCAAGGCAGTGGCAGTTTCGCTAGCCTGGCACGACTCTCTATCTCCTATTATTGACAGGAGAAGATCGAATAGAATAGAACAGACCGTTTCAGCTGGAAGAGACCTACAGCAATCATCTAGTCCAACTGCCTGACCAGTTCAGGGATTGCATGTTATGGCCTGTGCCATGCTTAAGGAGTTGGATTTACTGTGCATGTAGAGTGTGTATTGTCTTATAGAAGGGAAACAGTTCCGCTGTAAGTTGTCTCCTTCTAGCTGCCATCCTTCCCAGGTGCTTGGGCAGAGGGGAGGCTGCATAAATTGCTCTAGGGGTGGCAGCACTCCTCTGCTGCCATAACTTCCCTTCCTGGGGATCCCTTTCCTGTCAAGTTGACCCTGTACCAGGGTGGAGCGGGTCTTTGGGGGAGTATAGCAGCTGAGAAGACTGCTGTTACTGCTGGGACAGTGTCAAATCTGCAGCCTTCTCCTGAAGAAAATGGGCTTTAGGAGCAGGCCGTGAGCTGGATAAATTGTCCTGAAGGTGTTCAGGTTGGGTACACTGATCTAAACCAAGTATGCGTGCTTAAAAGAATAATGTCCCAAGCAGCATTCAGTTGTAAATTGGTATAGTGCAGCTCCAGTCAACAAGCTCTCCTTGTGTGCCGTTTTGTGCTGGTTTAGTTCAGTAACATCAGCGTACGTGTTTGTGCTCTCTTTGCAGCCTATCAGCTAGTACGTTATCTGTGTCTTCAGGGAGCAGTTTGGGATCTCTGGCTTCCAGCCGGGGATCTCTGAACACGTCAAGCAGAGGGTCGTTAAACTCGCTCAGCTCCACGGATCTCTACTATAACCAAGGCGATCAAGTAACAGATTTGGACTATCAGTATAAACTTGACTTCATGTTGCAAGAAAAAAGTGGTTACATTCCTTCAGGGCCTATCACTACTATTCACGAAAATGAAGTGGTCAGTTCCCATGGGAGACTGGGTTACAGTGACTCTCCTTCAGCTACAGACCATCCCAAATTGACTGAACCTCCCAAATCTGTGACATCGCTGTCTTCCAGATCCTCACTGTCCTCCTTGTCCCCCCCAGGCTCCCCTTTGGTTTTAGAAGCTGCGTTTTCAGTGTCAGCTCAAAATTCCCCTCTGCATCACCTCACTACAGACTTTGAGGACTGTGACCTTTTGGGTGACTTTGCAGGCATTAGTCTCTGTGAGAACCAAATATTATTGGACTCTGAAGCCAGAGCAGGATCTCGGATTCCTACAGATGATAAAGATCTTAATGAAGGCATTAGGCAACCTCTGCCTTCTCTACATGAAGGAAGTTCAGGTAATAAAAAAATCTGATAACAAATGTGTATGTTACATGAACTCATCTGTTTTGAATAGATGGCTCGAGTGGGGAGGTACCTCATGTAACTGAAGACTATTTTGGTCAGCATACATTTGCCATGGTGGGCTGTCAGTAATTGGGGGATGTTACGTAACTTCCAGTTTTGGCATCAGAGTGCTACGTTCACCCTGAATCCATCTACGTTTTGCAATAGTTGTCTCAAGAAGAAAAGGTCAAGTATTGCAGACTGTCGTGAAAAAATGACAGAAAAACGTGAAGCTGGATCTTGAAGACATGGACTTGTGGTATTCCTCGGTATTGTCAGGATGTATGGGTATAGCGCAAAAATACCCTCTGCTAGTTTTTGGTAACTTGAAATCACATACTTTGTTTCTCACTGAAGAGTAAGTTACAAACTGACATCCTCAGTAAGAGATTTCTGGACTTAAGAGCTAGAATTTTATGTGTGTATGTCTGTCCAGTTATTTGAACCTGCTGTCATGGAAAGTTCTTTTATTTTTTTTATGTGGGTTGAGAAAGACAAGTGGTCACATGCCATGTAAGTCACAGTGAGTCTTTCTCAGTTTTTAACACAGATTTCATAGCTTTTAGCTTTCTATCCATTTGAGTTAGAACAGAGCTCCTAAGCTAGTCTAGGCTCCCCCTACAGTCTCTGGGTAACTTCCAAAAGGATGGGTCATCTTATCCTAAAACATTCTTCATTTAAGGCAGATGGGATGAATGGCCCTGTTGAGTTATTGAGGTATCCTTAGTAAGTAGTTATCTGTAACTTTGAGATGGCTGAATTAGGTGTAATGAATTCCACTTCTAGTCTGCAGTAAAAGCCATGCAACGTACTTAGTCACCTTATATTGTCAAAACCTTTGCCAGAGTCAGAACTTGAAAAATCCCAGCTGTCAAGAATTGATGGCTTGTCCTCAGTCTTAGAGCGTTGACTTTGCTGCCTTTTGTTAGGGCTGACAGTACGTTCTGCTTTCTCTGTACATCTATTGACTTTTTCTTGTGTCATTCTGTGTCATTGTCTTTTCCTGCAAACCGTTTGTGTGCATACGTTAGACAGTGGCTCTGTTTTCCCAAGGAAGAACTGAGGGATCCAGGTTTCCGCTAGTGCTGAGCACTGGCAGCCCCATTTGAAACCTGATCAGCACCTAGCATACCCAGCCCCACATCTCTGGGCCTGAGTTGATAGTGAAGCGTCTAACTAAGGAGTTTGGGTGACTTAGAATAAATATAGCCTAGCTCTAGAGAGTGCATTGTCCAGATTTGTTGCTGAGCTTGAACCCTTGTGCCTGGAGTTTGCCAGTTTTTAATAAAAGTAACTGGACATATTGACACAGACATATATTTTAATGAGAGATTTGCTTTTATTTATATTTATATACACACACACACATATATATAAAGGAATTGTTGTAACATCTGTTGGTTAATTAGATGAACTTAGTACAGTACTGTAGTAACTTCAGTATTGACCAGAGCAATGTGGCACCAGAAGAGAAACGTACGGTATACATAGTGGAAGCTGGGAGTCCTCACTCTGTTCAACTGCACAAAGAGAAAAAAGAGAAATTGATGTCCTAGGAGTCTGAACCTGTGAAAGGTTCATGGAAACATGGAAAGACATGGAAAGGGATTTGGGTTGGGGTGTCGTGTTGTCCTTTGTCTTTTCAGTATAGTGGAACACAGTACTTATTTTGCTTTAAATCCATATCATAAAAGATGGGAAAAATTATTTTCCTGTCCATATTTCAACAGCATATCCTTTCCAAATGAACAACAACTTTTGGTCTGTCTGTGCCATCTGGCTGCAACTCACCTAGTCTGAGAACTGAGTTTAAGATGGTTTAGAATTTGGGAACACATAGGGCTATGAGGAATCAGAATTATTTTTTTTAAATTGATTTATTTAAATCATTATTTTCAGAGGCATCATGTGGTTGTCTGACATTTTTGATCTTTTTTTGAAGACCTGTTACTCTGGATAGTGTCAGGGTGTCTTTCAAGTCTATAAGTAGTTATGGTTTTAAAATACAAATTCATCCTGTGATTCTTCATACTGATACTTCCTCATGTGGGGTCATGTATAGGATACAAATTATCTTTAAATCTATCGTAAGACTGCCAAAACAAGCGCTCACTTTTTGGAAAAAACAGGTATTAATTAACTATGCTTCAGTACCACTAGTGTCCACAGTGAAATGGGCCTCAGGGTGAAGCTTCAGGACAGTAGCAAGGAGACGTAGACCTGGGGTTGGTTCGCTAGTTCTACTCTAGTTTCATCCTTGGAACTGCTGCAGTGCCGAATGGGAGGGTTTTCAACAAACGCAGCTGGAGGCATAAAACCTGCATGGAAAATTTCAGCCCACACACTTAAGTTTTACAAGACTACAAATCTGAATACTGCTGAATCTTAACTTGGAGGTAGACAAACGTACCTGAAGACAGCATAGCTGTTATTTTCATGTAATAATCGGCACTGGCTCTTTAGATGCCGTGCTCACCTGCTTCTCTGTCTGTCTCTGACTTTTCTGTACTGGTGAACCATACAGATATTTGCTCCTCTGCACATGTCCCTGCTGTCAGAAACCAAGTTGGAATATCATGTAGTTCTTTCACAGTCAGTCTCTGTCATTGTCAAAGTCAATTCAGGCTGCTGTGGTAATTCCTAAGGGTAATCAATAAATCATGTCATCACCTTCACCCCTCACATGGTGAGGGGAAGGGAAAGAGCACTTCATCATCAAGGAAAAAGCATTCCTACTGCCATAAATAAAGGCACAAATGCAGCAATCAATCATCTAATCTGAAGCCTTAAATTCTAAACATCTTAACAAGATGTAAAGTCATGATTCAGGTGGGGATGATAATGCATACCAAGATCCTCTCCCCTTGGCAGATAAAAGTACTGCATAGGCCCTCGACTTACTATCATGCAGAACGTGGCTTTCTCTGAATGCCGCTTCTCCGCTGTGTGACACTAGTGTATGAATGTGAGTTGAAGATTAAAGCTAAGTAGTAGTTGATAGTAAAGAGATGGCAGCATAAAAAGTTTTTGATGATAGTGAACCAGAAGGATTTTTCATTGCTAGCAGTTACATCACTGGAGAGAAGGTGTCTGACTCCTGAATATTTAATGAACAGTAGGCAATTGCTTTGCATGTAGCTGAAGTGTTACTGCAGTGCCCAATGTGAACATGGCAAGTACAGGCTTAAAGATTTGGATAATTAGGGTTGATAATGAAGATAACGAAGGATAATAACTAGCTCAACAGATATGGGTGATGATAGGAGCCTCTATCTCTGGGAAGGAATAATAGTTGTACGTTTTCAAGTTCATCAGTTTGGTTACATCCCTAGCCAGAATATGCGGTCACAGCAATACGGTCTCAGAATGTTTAATGATGTGGAACAAAACTACTCTGTGATACTCAGTTAAGGGTCACCACTTTCCACTTGACGACTTTCAAAGCTATGCGCTTCTCTGCCTCTGACTATTAATCTCTTGGACTAGTTTTCATTCTTCTTTCTTTTTGTAGGTGTTGACTTACCGCGAAGAACAGCTAGTCACCTGCTTGAGGAGAAAACAGCTTGTGTATCTGCTGCTGTGTCCGATGAGTCTGTAGCTGGAGATAGTGGTGTATATGAAGCTTCTGTGAAACAGTAGGTTTGAGAAATAACGCAAGTCTGTCCAACAAAAATTTAAATATATCTTTAAACAGTTATATAGTATCAGCATAAGCAGTTTATTGGTCTTGCCCTTTTTATAAATTTTTTGTCCTTTCATATTGAAAGGAAGACACATTTGCTAAACAATTAAGTTTGCTTAAAAAAGCTAATAAATTTTCATTAGAATGCTTGTATAATTTGGTTGAGTGGCATTAATATGCTACCTTCTAATCCTGTGGTTTTTTTCATGCTAGAAGTTTTCCTAGGAGAAAAGCTGTATTTGAACTATGCAGGTTCTGCCATGTGGCTGTATTGACTCTACTCAGAGTGACTGATTACTTCTTTTTTTGTTTAGATGCATTCTTAAGATTGCATAGCGTTTTGCTTGAATATTTTCCTTTTTAAAGAGGAGGATGTAGGAAAGATAAGAAAATCCTCAGTTTTAATGTTGCTATAAAAATAATCCAGGTTAGGGTTTAATAGTCATGCTTCACTGTGGTGAACAGGACACAAGAAATGTATTTGCTATTGTTGTTTTTTGACAAGACATAACTTCTATAGGATTCTTCATACTGTTTTCTGGCAGTGAGAGCAACGGACTTTAGACTGCATAACAGAAGACTATTGCTAACAATGAGAGACCCAAAACTTTATTTTTTTACCTCAGTTTTGGCAAGTTGTTGACATTAAGAATTTTTTGTGCTTTTGACTATTCAGAGAGCTCATTTAACAGGGTGATTACAAAGACATAGATGCATGTCTCCTGTAGCCAGGCAAAATGCTTTCCTATTAGGACAGGTGAAGGTGCATTATAGTATCATAAATGGGTTTTATTTGCCTCTGATAAAATTACTTCTACTTTGTCAAGTCTTTCACAAATTAAAAGGTAATAAAATAGATGAGACCGAATAAAAAAAGCTGAAATACATAAGGGGTTCATCCTGAAGACTGAATCCTAGTTTCCTCCATGTGTTCAGTTAGACCTAATGCAACTTCTTAGGCTGAAATAAAGTCTTGCCTATTAAAAACTTAGCCTTCAGTTGACTGAGTGGCTGTGACTGTGTATTTTGGTTCAATAACCATTGTAGTCTTTCCACTTTGTTTCAATTCTGAGCCACTGTCATCAAAGCTTACTGTCTGCTCCAGTTAAGTCCAGTGGATAGAAAGGAACATTGGACCAAAAGCTGTGGATGTTCTGTGGAGCAAGCCTTTAGCTGTCCTCTCCAGTGACACTGAGTGGTGGGATAGGTGGAAAGCGGAACAAATTCCTCTCGTCTTCCTGTCATTACTCAGGAAAAGGGGAAAGATGACAGTTGCATCCCCTAAGTCTATGTACAAGAGGAAACTATTGCCATTTGTGCAACCTAAGATTTCTGTAAGCTAAGTGTACGTAGACACTAGATATTCCATGATAGCTCCAGGTGTGGGTACTCTTAATTCTTACTGAGTAGGAAGTAGTGAAGAGGTAATGAGTGTCTCTGTGTGAGCTGCTTACGTTTAGAAAAAGTGTCTTTATAAGTACTGTCTGTGGAATGACTTACAATTTGTCAGCGTGCTCCTGCAGTTACAGTACAGTGATTTCTGCTGTGTAGACCAGTCCTTTGTATTCAGTAATTTAAGGCAGGAGAGGAAATAAATGCACTCTATCAAATTAGCCATCAGCCAGGAAATGAATGGTAAAAAGGAAACCTCTGAATGCAGAGTCTTAAAATAATGCTGTCATGTCTTCATAAGGTATGGGATGTCTGCGTCATTCTCCACATTTCCTATCTTGATGATATTTTCTATCTTGTTTATTGATCCCAACAGTCTAGTTTTAAAAATCAATGAAACACATTAATACCACATCCTCAGTTAAACCTCCCAGAAAATGACTGGAAATTATTTTGCCACATGGCTTCTCTTAATTCCATTCAATGCTAGAGTTGCTTTTCAGTTGCAAGACCTGAGTCCCTTTGGTTCTTTGAATGCTTCTGAAAACAGGCTTAAAGAAAAGATGCTTCTTGTTTGCACAGAAACCTCGTTATTTTACAGAGCTCCTGCTTCTCAAATATTCTCCAAAGCAGTATTCCATATCCAGTTTATGTCTGGTCTGATGTTTGTTACAAATTTTAATCTCTGATTTTGTATTCAGGGCGGATAAAGAAGTACTAAGTATGTATGGGAAAATGTCATGAGTTTTTCTCTTGCCTGTTAGTTTGGCCTGCTTCTGTCACCAGCCTGAGGCCTTTCTGACTCCTTACCGGAGTGGTCAAACTGTTCAGGCAGCAACTGTCCCTAAAACAGGCATTGCTATTGTGTAAGCTCTGAAGTTCTTATTTGGAGTGCATGCTGTAATTAAATCAGTTTGTTCAGGAGAATGTCTGTATGTTCTGTGCATGCATACCTTAATGATTGCTGAAAGCTAACTGTAATTTTCCTAAATTTGAGTATTTTCCTGTTTGTCTTAGACCAAATGAAACTGAGGACATCGTATATAGTGAAGATGATGCAACAACTCTAGAGGCTGCCCAGGTACAAATAGGACTCAGGTAAGTGACCAGCAGAGGGAATATTTCTGTTCATATATAAACACGAATAGTAAACTTCCCTCACATTGTCCTTTCTTTAACAGATACGACCACAGCAATGCAAGTTTTGTGATAATCGTAGTACGGCTTAGAAATCTTCCAGCGTTTTCTGTCCCCCTTGGCTCTAAAGTGTAAGTCAAACGATCACTGAGCAGTAGTGTTGAAATATGAGGGTATAATAAATAAATTGTACAAATTCTCCAAAGGAATGGATTGATTAACTGCTTAACAGCAGTAAAATACATATAAAACTTTTCAAACTGTAGTAATACTTAGCTTTTACATATTCCAGCAATGCTGCAAGAAAAAAAAGTTATCAGGAAATTTGCATGTTCCACTGAAGTGGAACAAAAAGGATTTTTTTAAATGCCTCATTTAGAGTTTTTAAACATTCTGTAGCTTTGTAAGTGCAGAACAGCTCTTCTGTTGTTACTAAAAACATTCTTTTGGTATTTTGCCATTCTTTCAGCTCAGAATGTTGTCTTTTTACATTTATGTGTCATTTTGATGTAAAATGCTATTAAAATAATGTGTGTCTCTTAAGTGAGCTTTTAAAGGTAAGGGGTAATTTGATAAATTGCAAGTGGACAAGCACAGCCACATTGAGATACACCTTCCCTAACAGCTGTAGCTTGGAGGGCTGTTAAGGATTAGTTCTTGTGTTGAATTGGACAGGAAAGGTCTAAAAGTAATTACAGTGGAAATAGTATGTAGGAAAAGAACAAAAATGCCTGAATAAGAAAACGTTACTACTGAGATACTAACCCCAAACTCTCATCCATGCAAGTAAGTGCAGCTTACCTTGGCTCCTTGGGGACACTTGTACTTCAGTGAGCTTTTTTACAGACTGGAAGCTATCTTAAACTGTTGAGAAGCTTAGTAAGATTAGAGAGGAACATAATCAGTCCTTGGAAAATTTGGTTTTCTTGCTGGTTCGCTTCTCCCTTTCCCACATCACGTTGAATTTGATTGGCAGATCCATAGGAAGCCACTGAATATGGAAAGGCTGTATAGGGATACAGGCCTGAGTGCTTATTGGATTTTTCTGTTTGTTTTTAATAACAAATGGTTGTCTACTACCATCCTTCCTGCTCTGACCTCCATCTTTCCCCTGCTGACCTTCCAAGTCCACTAGTATTTAGCACAAGAATATACAAAAACTATGGAAAAGTAAATTGACACAGCTGAGAGGAAAAGTAGATAATGTAGAATATAAAAAGAATGTCAACAAAATGTTCAGTAAGATAAAGTTAGGTCATAGCTGGCATCTTTTTAGGAATTAAAAGTATGAAATTGTAATTAGTAGTCATGTGTCTTCAGTGCAGAAGTCCAGACCTGCTCCTGCTAAAAAGATTTACTAAAACTAAAGCTACCCAAAACAAGGAGGAAGAAAGGACAGAGTAAAGGAAGAACCTTGCAAACAGCATTTTTTCTGTCACCTGCCATTGTGTGCATACACATATATACTGTACAGATATGTACAGTGATAAAAATTGGGTCTGGAAAATGATGCTATAACTGTATTTTCTAAAACATCAAATTGGATAGATTAGTACTTTATTGAACCTTTACACACAGAGGAATAGATTTGACATGAGGTCTTAACTGAGATCTGTTTCCACACTGTGTGTAAAAGCTGTTCACTTTTGGAGTAGGTAGAGCCCAGCTGAATACTTACTATTTGTGTCAGGATAATTTTTTCATCAGTTGAGAAGTCATAGGTTTGTCACAGCAAAATCTGAGGCATGGGCTGGCTTTTTGACTTTTTAAATTAAAATGAAAGTCAGCACTCTCGTAAAACAAAGTCAGTGAACCATTTATCTTTTACTCCTCTCTCTACCCCTCACTCTGGCCTGATGCCAATAAATTGACTAACAATTATTAAAAGAGAGCTCCAGTGAACCACCTTTTAATAAACTTTATCTTCTATTGCTACCTCTTTTCTAAATGTTTCCTAATTGCTTAATTTTTTAAAATGGCTGGTTTTGGCAGACCATGCAAGTTGCTCACCTACATTTATGTGAATACAGCAGCAGCATTACTGGAATTACATTACACTAACACTTAGCTTTGGGGTTGGTTTGTCGAAACCAACTGGAAACTTGCTACCCAGGCTATACATGCAAACCAAACAACTTAGATCTTCTTTATCCCAAGAAGCTTGGCATAATTGGGGAATAAAGGCTACGCCCAATTTCAAATAACAAAATCAAATTTCTCATTAAACTAATTTCTTTTGGTTTACCTAATGTAAAAACAAGTTTTTAATAATAACAATATGTACGAAGTCATTATTGGAACACATAGCAGTAGTGCTATGAATTTTAGGAGAAAAAGTTTTTTCCAGAATAATTTTCTTTGGCCTGCTTTTTCTTCTTGCTTTAGCTAGCTTCATTGCATTCCCTTCTACAGTGAATGTCAATTCTATTTAAAGTCAATACCAGAAACAGGCTAATGCACAGACACAGAAAAAATGTAAAACAAAATTACTGTGCTTGTTTGTGTGTATGAGAAGCTGTGCAATAGGTAAATAAATGTACAAATTGCATTAGGAATGTCTTTATCAAGCTACTATTAAAGTGAGACCTGCAAGTTAGCAAGTATTACCTTTATCCACATATTATCCATTGATGTTTGTTTGATAACAGAATGCAGCTGCCTAACAATTTCAGGTTATTCCCTGTGCTTAAGTTTAGGCTTGCAAGATGCATTCTTCTAAGCCTCACTTAATGTATTATGAATTGATCTTAAGCAGCTATGGGCCTAGCTATTTTCTATCTCATTTTCCTCAGCTTTCTGGTTTCTTTGGAGGTTTTGTTTATTTCTTTAAAAGATTAAGACATCACTGCTTTTCAGCACTGCTCACATTGTTCTAAGAGTTTAATTTTTACATCCACACAAATTTTTCTCATTTTTTAAATTAACACTAAGACTGTGTTTCCTCCCATGTGTGATATGATCCTCCGTGTTTACAGTACTAAACCAGCAGACAAATTTGGATAGAGACAGAAATAGCTACCTCTCTTGCCACTACCTTACCGGGCACAGAAATTCCATTTTGGGAAACGTTTGTGCAAGGGGCAGGAGTTGTTTCTGACTCCTCTTTGTCACTTCTTTTCCATTCCACCTCTGATTTGTTGCCGTTTCATTTTTCTTGCCTATGCAGTCCTTTAGTTGATGGGGCCAACTTCTATCATGCGTCACCAGCAAGTGCTAGTTTAAATACAGGTAAAGATTTTGTTTTGTTTCCGGCAGGTATGTTAGAGTAGCAGTGCTTCCATCCTCGACTGATATCAGCTGTCTGTTCCGCACAAAAGTTCATCCTGCCATGGAAACCATTTTATTCAACGAGATATTCAGAGTAGCCATTTCCCAAGTAATGCTGCTACAGAAGACGCTGAGAGTAGATATTTGTGCTGTCAGTAGAAGTCGTCGGGAAGAATGCTTGGTATGCAGTTTTATTTCTGGCTTTTTTTTGGCATGCATTTGTTTATAGTGTCCCCTCTTATTTTGATGGTCAAGGCTGCTAAAATTCCACAGTACTTGGAGACAAACTCTGAAGCATAACTTAGTTGTTGCTATAGCATTTAAAATACTACCTTGCTCTGAAATTCCTGATACAGAATCTAATTCTGGATGGAAGTTTTAGGAGGTGTTTTGATAATTCTAACATTGCATTACTTTAACTCTTTAATTACAGGTTGATAGTCCATCTTTGCAGTTTTACACATTAAAAAAAAGCAGTAAACTTCACTGCGACATTACTCGAACACTGGATTTTAAAGTAAAAGCTGAATGAGTCACAGTATGTAAAAAAAAAAAAGTGCAACCCCTCATTATCGCAACTTGTCATAAAGAGCAAACTAAATTACATTTTTGCATGTTGCTGTAGATTATATGATGTCCACCTTTTTATTCTTTATGATCTGTAGAAATAATAAAAAGGCATGACATTCATAGACCAGCCTATTGGAAACCAGCACTTTTTAAATTTTGTTGTTAATTGTGGTCATCACCTCATCAGCGATGCTTCATTTACTTTCAGATTGCTTTTGCATGGTCTGGTACAACTCAGTTTAGTTTTTCACCATGAGTCTGGCTTAGTAGCACAGCGAGATTTTTAGTTACAAAACACTGAAGAGATGCTGGAATCTGGGGGGGGTTCATCAGCCCCAACTACTGGGAACAGCCTCTCACTTTCAAAACTGTAGCAGTTAACTGAATTCCTGGGGAATGTTCCTTTTTCAGTATGTAAGAGGTTTCCCCTCAGGTAAGGGAAGGGCAGCAGAACAAAACCGCAACAGAATGCGGGATACAAAAGTCAAAGAAAAAAACCCAACAAAAATAACCAACCCAACACCAGAGACGTAAGGGTTAATCACAAAATGAAAAGAAAGCGTTGGGAGTACCACCCCCAGCAGAAAGCCCTGGGCAACATGACCAGAGTCTTGGCAAGAGATGTATACGCAGCCCAGTAGCTGTGAAGATGATTTGCTTTGCCAAAGAACAGAGGAGTGTGATCTCCGAGGCACAGCCCAACCATGAGTACTTTGTAAGTTTTCCCAGAGTGCCAACTCAGTGGATGTCAGGGCTTGTCCAAATGAAAGGGTTTCTTTATCTCTTTTACTGTCTTTTCATCTGCTTCTTCACTGGTTAGAGCAAACAAGGTCATCCATTATTGTTTGCTGTATCAATGATTTGTGTGGTGGAACAACTGAAAAATTGACTGAAACTTGCTGCTCTGTAAGTTGGTGCTGCAAGTTTCATTGACAGTTTTTCGTTATTGAATGCTATAGAAAGCAGATGTGTGCATTACAGTGACAGAGGGGTCTGTGTGAGTGCACGTGGGGAGAAATTCCGCAGACTGAATAAAAGGTGGTAGAATGGACAATATGAAGGACCTTTCCATGTACCTCTATTTGTTTATTTTAACTAGAAGTGGAGGGAAATAGAAAATTGTGCAGTTAAAAAGGGAATCAAGATTCACATCAAATTTGTGCTGCCTATTTTACATGATAAATACTGTAGAATTTATTTTAAGCTGTATTGCAGGGAAAAAAAACCCAAATTTAAACAATTTTCTTCCCCTTGCTTATTTTGTGCAGGCTGGGACTCAGATCAGTCTGGCAGATTTATCATTTTCTGATGAGACTTGTACTCTATGGTACAACCTGTTGCCTTGCAAGCAAATTCCTGGCAAAAAAAACAAGGAGCAAAATGAAGAATCCATGTTTCCGTTAAGCAAGCCATCATTGGACTCGTTGGACTTGGTGAGCAAGATGTCGGCTATTACTGTAATGGAAAGAAAAAAAGCCACAGACTCTAATTGTGGTGGTGCACTGTGGTTACTTGAATGTGTGACTTGTCCTCCCCTGAAGGTCCAAGGCCCTGTGGTCTTGCCGGCACTTCTGTCTATAGCAACTTTCTGTGTGAGTAGGTCCGATGCGGGTTTCAGACTTGTTAGCAAGTGTGTATAGGGCTGATGCTTCTTAGCGGGATACAAAATTGCACTCCAGTTTGAAACCCAGCTGAAGCATTTCATTTTAAAAAGAACGTTATTGAAGAGCTTCCTTAAGTTTACCATTGATTTTTCATACACACTCATTAAAAATTGCTATTTATTAATTATCTGAATTTGCATACTTAAAGCCATTGCACTGAAAATGCTGTTTATGCAAAACACATACTAATTCTTCCAGTTTAATAAGCTTTTCTGCTTTAATGCCTCCTTAAGAAAACTACATTAAAAAATGTAACTTTTAAGAACAACCTTTTTTTACCAAGGGATATTACAAGTATGAGGGGGAAAGAGAGATGAGACATTAAAGGATGACAGGAGCATATTTGATTGCATCATTGTTTTACAAGCGGTCTATTTTTGATTGAGATTCATTCTGTATAAAAACAATTGGTTAATGTGCTACACACTGACAATTCAAACAAGTTATACTTGTGATCTGAGTCATGTTTTTGCTGCATCAGGGAGCAGCAGGGTAATGCAGTTCTTGCAAGAGTTGTAATTTTTTTACCTATGTTATGTATCACTCAATTCTGGTTTCATCTTCTCTTTCTTTGTGAGCAGGATGCTGTGTCAGCACTGCTGGAGAGGACATCTGCTGAGCTGGAAGCAGTAGAGCAAGAGCTGGCTGAAGACGAGGAGGAGGAGGAGGAACAGGAGCAACGGGGCTCTGAGGAAGACTGGTAAAGCCGCTTTTCCTCCCTCACTGTTCATGCCTGAACGACTCCCCTAGTTCCTCCTATTAGGCAAATGAAAAGGCTGTACTTTCAGAGGAGATCATAGAATCAGAGTGGGTTGGGTTGGAAGGGACCTTTAAAGATTATCTAGTCCCAGCCCCCCTGCTGTGGGCAGGGACATCTTCAAC